TGAGAATTCATTGGGTCTGATGCAATCATTGAATATTCCAGAATGGAAATGGGATAGAATTTCCATGAATTTTGTAATAGGTTTGCCGAAGACTTCGAAAGGATGTGACTACATTTGGGTGATTGTTGATAAGTTAACCAAATTGACTCACTTTATACCGACAAATATCAATCACTATTTGCAAAAGCTGGATGGGTTGTATATTGAAGAGATTGTGAAACTACATGGTATCCCTTTGAGTATTGTGTTAGATAGAAATCTGAGATTTACATCAAGGTTCTGGGAGAGTTTGCAAATTTCTTTGGGTACTAAGCTGAAGTTGAGTTCTGCTTATCATCTGCAAATTGACAGTCAAACAGAGAGAACTATCCAATCTTTGTAGGATTTGTTAAAGGCATGCATTCTAGAACAAGGAGGTGCTTAGGATAACTACTTGCCATTGATCGAGTTTACCTACAACAATAATTTTTATTCTAGCATTGGAATGGAACTGTATGAGGCATTGTATGGTATAAGGTGTATGCCTCATTTATGTTGGTATAAGTCATGCGAGAGTGTTGTACTCAGAATTGAGATTGTTCAGCAGACGACTGAGAAGATCAAAATGATCCACGAAAAGATGAAAGCATCACAAAGTCGACAGAAAAGTTATCATGACAAGAGAAGAAAACAATTGAGTTCCAGGAGAAAGAACACGTGATTTCGAGAGTCGCACTGGTGATTGGTGTTAGTAGGGTTTTGAAGTCTCGAAAGCTCACTCTGCATTTTGTTGGTCCGTACCAGATTTTACAGAAGATAGGTTCGGTAGCCTATCAAATTTCATTACCACTGCCACTTGTGAATCTTCATGATTTGTGTCATGTGTCTCAGCTTAGGAGGTACGTTCTGGACCCGTCCCATGTGATCCAGATGAACGATGCCCAGGTGAGAGATAACCTAACTATTGAGACATCACTCATACAGATAGAGGATCGTGAAGTGAAATATTTATGTGATAAAGATATTGCCTTGGTGAAGGTAGTTTTGGAGGACCAGTTGGTGGGAGCATGACTTGTGAGTGTGAGGAGCATACGAGAGAGTCATATCTGACTCTGTTTTCCTCAGGTAATTTTCGAGGGCGAAAGTCTTGTAAGTGGAGGAGAGTTATAACACCCCATTTTTTATTAATATATTTTAATTGATTTATCTGTGACTTTCTATTGATTTATTTTAAATTTATAGGATTTAATTCATTGTTGTGTAGTTATAGGGGTGTAGAGAGAGTTTGAGTTGATTTGGATTATTTATAATTTATTTAGAATTTTGAATAATTAAATAATATTAATTTTAGTAGATTTGTTTAATCTACTATCAATATATAAAAATTGATATCCACCATTTTTACCAAATTAACCATTTAAAAACTAATTACATTCTTAGAATTAGGGTTAAGGATTCTTGGTTTTTAGGGTTTTCACGGAAAAGGTCATCGTCCGCTCAGTCAAAAGGTGGACCATTGAACTCATATTTCTAAGGGATACGTGGATCAGTAAGTATATTGACTTTCCCAGTATCCAAGACGTGTCTTATCCCGTGTTTCCTCTTTTCGGGGGCGAGGAAAATGTAAAGGGTGAGATGGTGCCTCCCTTTGGGCGAACTCGTGTCATCGTGCTTTCCTAGGGCGGTCCTGAAGATATTTCCCTAGGCAAGGTTATATATAAATATAACACTACATAAGGGATACTAGAATCGCAGATCAACAATTCCTAGTGGTACCATGAATAAGTGCCTACAATTGCATCCTAGACGGACATGCCTTTCCCATCTACATTAGACACGATAGCTTCCCCAATGCATCTCAAACTCAAGTACCTATAGTGCAAATTTAATAGGAAAGTTCTTTCCTGCTAGTAAATAAATTCCTTTTCTACTATTTTTTTATATGCGGTGGCAAAGAAAATCAATCAGAATAGGGAAGAAAATACCCTTGAGCTTTGTTAGAAACTCCGAGTCTGCATGACCAAACAATTTGAACTAAAGAGCGAAGAGCTCCAGAGTGCTATCATAAACGTTTTAAAGCATTAGAACAAAGCAACCAAAGTTCCATAAGGTCGAGGTGCTACCTCAAACGCTTCAAAAGGTATAGACAAAGCAATCAAAACCCCATAAAGGCAACATATTGAAAAATACCAATAAACAGATCCATCCCCCTCTTGATAGCTAGACTTTCCAAAGGTTGAGATGAGTCCTTATCACGCTAACCTCAAACTGTGTTTTCACCTGGGGTTGGGGAAGGGCTGTTGACCATTGGCTAGGCATGATCCATAGAGACTTCCAATAAAATTTCAACCACAACCTCATAAAATAAAGTTATTTCCCAGAGTAATATACTCGGGATCTAGCATGAATATCGATTCAGCTAAAAACATATATTCAACTAAAAAACTACTTTATGCATTGTTGTACATAGACCGTTGAGTATAAATACATTGTATCAAAATAAAAAAAAGGAAAAGTGATGGCTTACTGATCTTTGAGGGAATCCATCTTCCCATCCTCTATTGTCTAGTCTAGGCGCATTTGCTCCCTTGAAACTCACAAAGGAGGATATAATTGCTCCATTTGCTGGAGAGAGTTCTCAAAAGAATCATACACACATACGGGACCCTCATCCACATCTTTATTAAAATCCTTAGTCAGAGTAAGATTCTCAATACGCATGCTTTAAAGACTCTCTTGAGGCTCCTTCAAATATGCCTTAAGTTGTGCTACCGTGTTATGAGAATGATCTTGCACCAAACTCTCCCCAATAAAGCAACCTCAACTATAGATAATGATGCTTGGAGACTCAAAAATGCTAAGGGTTAGAAAAGGAAATGTTGAAGGAAAATTGGTGAAGGCCAGAAAACCTATAACACTCACAAAAATGACTTTTCTCTCCTTTTTAGTGTTAGTGTCTACCAACATATGAGTCTCAATTACTCGGTTCATCCATTTCTTTGATGTCGTATCTGAGGGAGTGACGCCACCAACGTACATAATTCCTTGATGAAGGCCAATAACTCCTTCTTTAGGTAAAACTCTTCTTCGGAAAGACCGTCTTCCTTATAAGCATAAGATATGTTCTCGATCAATAAATGGCCTTGGCACGAAAGTTTGTGAAACAAATCCATACACCTGTAGTTAGAATCAGTTTATATAAAACACACCATTGCATGGGCGTTTTTGTTGAGGGGAATGATAAGAAAGAACTAATCCATGAAATTCTTCATGCTATCAGAGTGAACATCGAAAAAACGGTTAACCTGTCCCAAGAAAATGAAGCCCTAGCCACATGAGAGATTCACCATGCTATGTCGAGCCTTGAAAAGTGAAAGAAGAGCTGCAAGGTTTGCACAACCCTGTGATATTCGATCAAATGCTGGAAAGCCTTGATAAACGCCAAACCCATCAGGTGAACATGTGAGGGGGAAATCATTAAATGATTCAAGATGCCATCCTCAAAATCAGCGAATTGAAAAGGGAAACCCAAGATGGAGAATAAGCACTCGTAAAGGGGGATGACACATCCATCATATTCACTACATATCCTCTTATCCTTGTCCATAGTTAACACCCCTAGTGGGAAGAAGGTCCCATGCCACCAAAGGTACGTTTGAGGCCACATTCATAAGAAAAATCAAAAGTAGTCTCCAAAGTCTCTAGATCCACCCAAGCAGCTGAGTCAAAGGACATAGCACGATAAGAAACCTCAATTAAGGAATAAGAAGACAAAGAAATGAATGTTACTTTTAAGACAATGAAACAAAGGGAAAAAGTCAAAGGAAACAATAATACAAATGAATGCAAAGTAAAGCCAATAGTCCAAAAATTCTGGTGGTGATCACAAAGAAAACGAAGAAAGAAAAGAATACTTCAAAACTTCAAACCACAAAAGAGAGTGGGGAAGAATAAGCAATTAAGCTTTTATGGGTACTCCCAACACGAGAGTAAGACAATCTCCTACAACTAGGAGAAAAGAAAGCACTCTAACAGTCTATATCTCCTAAAAAACTATCACAAACAAATACTCAAGTATTCTAGGGTCATAAGATCATCATTTATGGCATGTGAGAGGGCACATGTCAAGGGTTCCTTAACATAAAGACATATGACACATGAAATGAATTTAATACGCGAATTCCTAAATCTAGTGGCGACCCATCACTACCTCTCACTTGAATTAAACGCCAGCTATCTCAGGGCATGCATGATAAAATCATTCTTAAGGCAGGGTAAAGAGCTTGGGCACAACCATTTTAGGCCGCCCAAGCAACCCTACAAGAGAGGCCCAAGAGTGAATGCTATTGAAAATCATGTGCAAGAAAAGCAAATCATCATTCTTTTGAACACAAACAATCTCAATCCTTAACTCATCACACACTGTCCATATCAATCAGACGATCCTTAACTTAGCACGCCGCATTCCACACAAAGCAGTTGTAACCACTTGTGTTATATAAAGAAAAAAACATTGCCATTTTACAAATAACTCAAATGCATCCCTATTACTCATAATTTCTCACCTTCTAAATATCTTAAACATTAAAGTGTTAATCTTACAAGACACTCCCAACCACACCGTTCCATTTCATATTTCTGATTCCCTTGCAGAACAATAATATTATATGTCCACTAAAAACATATTATGATATATGATATTGCATGATATTATATCACATTTTTATCCAACTTTATTTTCTATTTTATCTTTAAAAGTAAAATAGAGATATTACGGTATTGAACTCAGCTACTCCACTCCATCCTCTATCCTCTGAGCTGTAAGCCTCTGACCATTGGTCATCCATTAATTAAAATAACTACTCAACCTCTCTCTCTCTCTCTTGATTTGTTTCCACTCCTCTACCTAAACCCCATCCTCCACTCTCTTCTCCACCATGTCCCCTCTCCACCACAAAAAACTTCACATTCCTCACTTCTCAATCATCTAACTCTCAACTCAACCCTCTTACACACAAACCATGTCAAGCAAATGGAGAAAACTCAAGCTAGCTTTCGGATTCAACTCCTGTATTCACATTCCCAAACAATTTGACGATTCCTCCACATCTCTCAACACCAACGCAAGATTCTCCGCCGACACCTCCGCCGACACCTCCGCCGTTACTCTAAGTGTCCGATCACCTTCCTCCTCTGCTCACCGATCACTCAAATCCCCCAAGGTTAGCACCACTTAACAATTGCCCTTTACACTTTTCTATATAAAGTTTCTATTTTTTTTTGTTGGCTCTTTCTAAAGTTACCCTTTTGCTTCTTCTTCAATTCACCATTGAATCTCCATCGTAGATTCATCTCTATTTATTTATTTTTATTTATTTTATGTTAATTATTTATGTTTTTCAATTACCCTTTTGGTACTGCAAGAACAAAGTTACCATTACAATTTACAATTTTACAAACACTTTAAGCTTAATTAGTAGTACTATTCTTGTAATGAATGAACATGATTAGATGTACCTTGATTTGAGCTATAATCAAAGGGGTAATTTTTGCTTTCAATTGGCTGGTGGAGTGTGACTCATTCTTTTTTGACTATTCTGTATAAGTTTTTATTCTTGATTCTCTTGTTTTTAAACCCATTATTGGGTGGGGAATGGTTTATAGTGGAGAGGAGGACCAGTTACTAGAAATGGTTTGAATTTGAGACACTTCTTCTTATATTGTCCATTACTTATTTATGGATGTGAGTGCATTATATTCTATGAAGGAGTCACATAACACCAGACACGAACACAAGACACGACACTGTGACGTGTAATCGTTGATAATAATTTGAAAAAATTGGCCTGATTGAATAAAATCACATTGGTTAGATACCAGACACGCTTTCAATTTGAAGGGTCGGATTATTTTTAGCTCATTTCCATTCTAAGAATGAGGACATAGGCAAAACAAAATGACCCCATAATCAATGGTTTGTGGACAAAGTAAAAGTTGGAATTTTATAAAATGCTACATCATTGAATAAATCATCTTTGATTTCTCCTTCTTTCGATGTCATTTACTATATTTTTATTAGTCAATGTCTAGAAAGCATCAATTATAGAGCTGTGATTAGAGACTTTGTCTTTTCTATTTTTTTAAAGTATTGTGGTTATTGTGTTTATTATTATCCTTTGGTGTACTCAAAGGTTTTGACCAATAAACGTTGACCTGAATTTTATCTTTCTAGTATATGTGGTAGATTTGATTGAGAATCTTGGCATCTAAGTGGGAATGTGTGGTAAAGATGGGTTATATTCTATTTCATCTTTTTATGCATTGGTCTTATTAGTGGGGTGGACCTACTTTGGGACAAGAAGGCAGTGTTAGAGACACTATAATGTGCTAATAGTGACCTTTGCAAATATTGCATTCTTTAAAGACCACTTTACTGTGCCACTGTTTAGATTTGCTTATTTTGTGAACATGCTTCTTTTTCTTTTCATTATTTTAATAACTTATTAATGCAGATATAGAATGGACATGTTTTGTATTACTGAATTTCAAAATCAAATTTTGTTACCACAAAACCAAAATGCATGCTTAGTAGTTAGCTATGAGGCACGAACTGCGACATGGATACTGGGATATGACACCGACAGTGGCACTTCGACACTAATAATGTAAAAAATATAGGACACCTTAATGGCAGTTGAAATACCTTCTTGTACTGAGATTTGTATCCATATGATCTGCAGGGAACTTGTGCAATATGCCTGAACTCGTTGAAACCAGGGAATGGCCAGGCCATTTTTACTGCAGAATGCTCTCATTCTTTCCATTTCCACTGTATCACTTCCAATGTAAAACACGGGAACCAAATTTGTCCGGTTTGTCGAGCAAAGTGGAAAGAAGTTCCTTTTCAGAGCCCTGATTTACATCCTCGAAACAGTCAATTAACAAGAGATAATGGGTGGCCAGCTGCCATTAGGAGGCTTCCTTCTTCTACTCAAGTCAATGCAGGCGGACAGATTTCGTCGCTTTATCATGTTACTGAACCGGCTATTTTTAATGATGATGAACCTATTGATCAACACACTTCAATTCCGTGCGACAACAATAGTATTGAGACTAATTGTCACGATATAATAAATAAAGTTGAGATCAGAACTTATCCCGAGGTTTCATCTGTTCCAAAATCAGCCTCTCGTGATGCCTTTGCCGTGTTAATTCATCTCAAAGCTCCTCAGTCTGAGAGTAAACAATATATTTCCGGAAACGATACTGACTCATCACCACCTCCGGTTGAAAATTCCCGCGCTTCAGTTGACCTTGTTACGGTCCTTGATGTAAGTGGTAGCATGTTAGGTACTAAGCTTGCATTGCTAAAACGAGCAATGGGTTTTGTCATTCAGAATATGGGTCCCTCAGACCGGCTGTCTGTCATCGCCTTCTCCTCCTCAGCGCGTCGCATCTTTCCTCTTCGGAAGATGACTGATATCGGACGGCAAGAGGCTTTACAAGCTGTTAATTCGTTGGTTTCAAACGGTGGAACAAATATTGCAGAAGGCTTGAGGAAAGGGGCCAAAGTGTTTTCCGATCGTCGGTGGAAGAATCCAGTTTGCAGCATCATATTACTCTCGGATGGACAAGATACATACACAGTCAATAGCAGACCAGGTGTCGGAGCAGATTACCAGTCACTTGTCCCAAACACCATTCACCATAATAATAACAGTCTAGGCTTGCAGATACCTGTGCATGCATTCGGCTTCGGCGCTGACCATGATGCTACTTCAATGCATTCAATCTCCGAAATATCAGGTGGTACATTTTCTTTTATTGAAGCCGAGGAAGTAATTCAGGACGCATTTGCGCAGTGTATTGGTGGACTGTTGAGTGTAGTAGTGCAGGAGGTAAAATTAGATATCAGATGTGTTCATCCTCGGCTGCAACTTAGTTCGGTAAAAGCAGGAAGTTATCGAACAAGTTTGACGACTGATGGAAGAATGGCTTCGATAAATGTCGGAGACTTATACGCTGAAGAAGAGAGGGACTTTTTGGTGACAGTCAATGTTCCAATTGATAGTTCCAATGACGAGATGTCATTGTTGAATGTTAAAGGTTTTTACAGAGACCCTATAACAAAGGAAATGGTAGCTTTGGAAGAAACAAGTGAAGTAACAATCGAGAGACCAAACATAAGTAGAGAACTAGTCGTGTCAATTGAAGTAGACAGACAGCGGAACAGGCTCCAAGCAGCTGAGGCAATGTCCGAAGCAAGAATTGCAGCCGAACGTGGCCAACTATCTTCTGCAGTTTCCGTCTTAGATAGCTGTCATAAGACATTGTCCGAATCTGTCTCTGCTAAATCTGGTGATCGCTTATGCGTTTCACTTGCTGCTGAACTAAAGGAAATGCAGGAGAGAATGGCAAACCAACACATCTACGAGCAATCCGGAAGAGCTTACGTTTTATCAGGATTGAGCTCGCATTCAGCGCAAAGAGCAACAGCGCGAGGCGATTCAACTGACAGCACAACTCTTTTGCAATCGTATCAAACTCCTTCGATGGTTGACATGGTGACACGTTCGCAGACAATGGTGCTCGGTGCTCCACTTCGGCGTATCCTTCAACCCGCTAAATCATTTCCTGAGAGGCACAGAAGATGATATGATAATAGCAATGGAATTTGAAAATTCTACTTAGCATATACATAAACTTGTGGGAAGGAAGACCCTTTAAGATTATTGTTATTTTATTTTTTAATTTTGGTTAAGGTGAGGGGGGTATAATGAAAAGGAAAGAGATTTTGGGGGGATATATATAAAAATTGCTGATTTTTGCCAAGTATAAAACTGTAAATGCATAGGTGGGTTTAATTGGGTTATGCAGATAATGGCGAAAAGGGACAAGTGTGATCGAGTGATATGTATATATAATTTAATGTTTTCAGTTGAATTGATTGCACACTGGTGAGTTTTTTCACTTGATTATTATATGCATATTGATATGATATAATCTTTCTCTGTTTTTTTTTTATACTTTTTTTAGTTTTTGTTACTTTAGTTTCTTTTAGGCGCATCTTCTGTTTTTAAGTGTTTCTTATTGTTTGGTTTTATAGTTCTACAAATATCAAATTCAAACACAAGACAGGATATTGCTCGCTGCATGTTTTCATTTTGCCAATTTTTTCCACCCCTACAAAAATGAATTTTTTTTAGCAATAATCATGGTTTGAAAAAAAAAACACAAATAAACATGTTTCGGAGAAAATTACACAAATAACCATATTTCGGAATATACGCCAATGGCGGTGTCATTTTACTTGACGCATGCATTCATCTTTTTGCCTTAAGCGTCATCTCATTTGACGCATGCATTTTCTTTTAGTCATGTGAAATGGTGCATGCACTATAATATGGGGATTGACGCAATTTGAGATGACTACTATGTGCAATTGTGTTTTCTATAAATAAAATACTCATTTCTCCATCATTCTTCACATTTTCTCATATTCTCTTCTTATTTTCTTTGTTTTTTGCATCATGACATCTCTCATGATTTTTATCAGAGATGGGTACGTTATTTTCTCGGCCACCAAATCTCCGATGAAAATGAAATTTTGGCACATTCACTTTATAGAGCGTCTGAAGAGAGAGTTGATGCAATGGCTAAGGGGAAGACATCGAAGCTGGAGAATAAATTAGAAAGATCCAGAGAAGAAGAAGAACCACATTACTTGCAACTGAAAGACCTTAATCTTGGTTGGAGGAAGTCAAAACAGATAGAGACGTAATGATGATGATGCATGGCTCAGATGAAATTGTTTTGACGGTTGTAATTTCTTAGATGTTTTATCGTGTTTTTATTTGTTGTTTGCGTATGATTTGTTGTAACAAATGCTCTTAATGAAAAAAAGTTACGTTTATATCTTAAAAAAATGCAGATAGTTTGCATACAATTTTTATGTTGTCGAGCTTGTAGCACGAGTGGGACAATTTTTTCGATTGTGTCCGATCTGAGGACATAAACCACATTTTCTTTCTAGCTTGTCAAGGGAGTCCTTTTCAGTTGTGATACGCTTGCTTTTGGGACGAATCATTTTATTCTTTTGCATTTGATCGTTGTGTCATACTATTTCTCCTTCGTATGCAGGTCAATAATCAGGTTTCGCTATCATTTGAATGCCATTGTTGTATACGCTGAGCAAGGTTCCAGACTTGTAAACGGGAGATAAAAGTAGTAATGCATCTTGATGAGTATACGCACATGCCACAATGACATGAAAGTAAGGCATATGAAAAGCTTGAAACTTTCCACAATTGCACCAATAAGATGGTAGTACAATCTTATACTCTTGTCTTGGCAGCCCCCTCGTTATGATCGATCGTCTCTTTGACAATGAAGTTGTGGCTATGTCGGTCGAACCTTATAACAAGATAGGTGTTGGCTTTGCCACCTTCTATTTTAATATATTTCATACAACTTTCACTTCATAGTTGTCCCGATTGTAAGACCTCATTCTACATTTCACTTCTTTTTACAAATAACGAAGTCATCCTAAAATATGTTGATTTCATCAAAGCGATTACTGGGAGGTTCTATATGCCTTTGAATACACCGTTCATTGATTCGATAAGATTTGTTGTCATGTGGCCCCATCGTTATCCATTATCGTATGACCATGTCCATTTCTCCATTAGAATATTATCAATCCACCTATCTGCATCCGAATTAGACAATCTGATCTCGTTGCGATAGTGTTTGAACGAAGGTTGTTTAATGCATACTCCGCGTTCATAATTGTTTTCAGAGAGCCTTGTCTTTGATCTCCCTCATGAAATTTTGTATGATATGTCTAATGCAGTAGACATGTCTAGAAGGAGGGTCATGCCAACCGTTTGCAGGATTATTGTATGCACTCTCAATAGATACATGCCTGTCAAAGATCAAACAGAGACCAGGTTGTGGAGCCATATGTGTTCGGAGATTCTTGAGAAAGAAACTCCAAGCACCACCAGTCTATCCCTCGATTAGAGCAAAAGCAATTGGGAAAATGTTGTTGTTGCCATCTTGTGCAACTACTATCAGTAGCGTATCTTTGTATTTCCAGCACAACCATGTCCATCTATTTGAATAATAGGTTTGTAGGACGCAAACCCTGTGATGCAAGGTTGAAAAGCCCAGAACAGTCAACTGAATATTCCATTTCTGTTGATAGAAGTACCATCTGGGGCATACACCAACAATGTTTTCATAATATAAACAATTCTAGGAGAATACGTCTGAAGTACATGCAGGTAGCGTGGTAGTTCTTTGTTTCTTAAACCGCAAACCATACCATGTAGCAACCCTTTAAAAGTCCTAGTTGAAGCATAGGTTAGTTTAGAAGTATATTGTTACAAAAGGTATCCTGAATACTGTAAGACTTACTGTAAATCCTGAGTTGAATTCATATTCTTACAAAATTTTGCTGCTTGTTAAAAATGCATTTTTCAAAAAAAAAATCCAAGACAAACATAAGCTTTGCATTTTGAATATCACTATTTGCATATAACTAATTGTTCGACAACAGAGAAATTCACACGACGAATATCCAATGAACGAAAATCCTCTCAATAAACATAATCACTTCAAATCCAATGACAAACCCTCCATAGTCAAAGGGCATGGCATGTTATTGTCCGACTCACCTGTGGCAGTCAAGTCAAAATTCAAAGAATATCTCGTAAAGTGATGAATAGTCAGAGGGAGATCTCCATCTGAATCACTTGGGGCATTGAATATAAATTCCAGCAAAGGGTCACATACGATCAAGCAAACATTTTTTTGGGCAGTGCTATAAACACTTACTACTGTTGGCAATGTTAACTCTCCACACCCTATGAACACAGGCATAGTCGGAAAATACTACGCATGAAAGAGACCCGCTAGGTTGACATGCCTAGGAAAAAGTAAGGGCATCCTGGAGAACCAAAAAGGTTCGGGAAAAAATCAGGGATATACATACAAAAGACTGTACACCCGGCAAGTCGAAAATCTGAAAAGGCGGCTTGGGCAAAAAAGGGTATCCCGGCAGACTGAAAATCGGAAAGGATGGTCCAGGCAAAAGTTAGGGATTAAAGCATACTACTATGTCCTGTTATCTCATCACTTGTCTATCAATATGAGATTTGTCACTCTGGTCAACATTTACCGAGGACTCTAGGAGATAGAACAATATTCAAGTCATCCACAAATCCCCATAAAGTCCTTTTCATAAAGAGATCCCCAATGAAGTCGCCAGAGCCACCTCTATAAGGTTATCCCCATAAAATAATCTTCACGAATAAAGGTACAATCCTCCACAAGGCTATCCCCAACAAGCGCAGAAGCATCTTCAAACAAAAGTGGGGCATCCTCCGGCCGATGACATAGTCAAACTCACCAGCAGGTAGAAAAGTTTGATCTTCTCCCAACGAATGCATACATCACGCCAGTTCCCAAACAGAGGGAGATTTCCAATAGTTTACCATCTTCTAGATACAATACAGGTACAATCTAAATAAAGATTCATTCTGATATTCATTCCAGTTCTCTTGCAAATACAGTACAAAAACAATCTAGACAAAGATTCATTCTGATACTTATTCAAATGCATCTTCTTAGACACAATTTAGATACAATCTACATGCAGATTCATTCTGACACTCATTCTAGATCCTCTTGCGAATACAGTACAGATACAATCTAAATACAGATTCATTCTGACACTCATTCTCGATTTTCTTCCCGATATAGTTCAGATACGAATATCATTCTGATACTCGTTCAATATCTCCTCAAATACAATCAAGGCTCAGATTCATTCTGACATTCCCTAGCTGAGTTAGTCTTAACTGAAAAAAGAAACTTTACGAAGTTCTCCCCAAAAGAATTCATCTCCCCAATAAGGTCTTCAAAATAATCTCCTCAACATGGTTTATTTCTCCAACAAACTACAGATTCCCCAACACAAGTCTTTTCTCAGACTATTATAAATCAACGGACAAAACCCCTTTGTCCCCAGCGGAATCATTACTATCCTCAGAAAGTTGCTACAAAGCCTAGAATTTGATCAGATACCAGTTAACTTTTATTCTCTCCAGTCAAGTTTCCCCAGTAGAGCAACAAACCACCAAGGTTCCTAAACTCTTCTCCCCAAACAGAAATCAGTACATCCCCAACGAAGTTTCTTCAAAAAAATAAGCAGGAATCCCCAACGGAAGTATTCTAAACAAAGTTGATGATACACAAACTCTTCATCTCTAGAAGTAGTCCGACAATTAGTCTTCCAAAACTCCCCAGCAGTAGTCAGAAATTTATTTTCCCAAACAAAGATACACTTCAACCACATTTCACATTTCATACATCATAGCATATGCATACGAAACACATATAACATTCTCATTCATTCTGAGAGCATAATTACACAATACATTACATACATCACGCCCTTGCATGAAAATAACTTTATCTTTTCAGGTCGGTTCCCAAACAGGTAGATCTCGTCAACAGTCTATCATTTGTCAAATACAATCAGCCAAAGATTCTCTTCTAGAAACGGTTCAGATACGACCCAGAGACGGATGACATTCTGATACTTATTCCAGATTCTCTCTAAAAACGGTTCAGATACGATCCAAAGATG